AGAGAAGCGCCTAGTCCGGGGGAACACCGAACAGAAGAAGGCCGACAGAAAGCCTTCCCCTGGAGCTGACACCCTGAATTTGGACTTTTAGCCTACTTTAACTGTGAGGAAATAAACTTCTCTTCGTTAAAACCATCCACTTGTGGTATTTCTGTTATAGCAGCACTAGATGACTAAGACACACAGGTTCTGGCTCTCGCAGGTTTTACTGTATATATAGATAGATATAGATATTCTAATTTGTAGGATGCTTTTGGGAGAAGATTCTCTGGTACCCATAGACTGTGGAAAAAGACATGCTTATCACATCCTTTCTTGCCTCACCCTCTTCCATCATTCATTTTTCAATTCCACAAGTATATATTAAATGCTTACTATGTGCTGGGCACTTGGTAGATGATAGGGATACAATCTGTGCACAGCTAGACACAGTTCTTTCTTTATGATGCCTGCAAACATTAAATAATCACACAGATAAATGTAAAATTATAATTATCATAAGGACTACAAAGGTGAAGTATTAATAAATAGTAACAAAAAAGGTGAGCCCTAGTCGCACAGTGGTTAAGAGCTCAGGCTGTTAACCAAAACATCAGTAGTTCGAATCCACCAGCCACTCCTTGGAAACTCTATGGGGCGGTTCTCCTCTTTCCCTCAGGATCGTTAATGTACAATATGAAGAATTGATTGGCTCAGTAAGGAACCCTTTTCTTTGGTCTCAGCCATTCTAACTATTGAAGACTGGGCAGTGGGAAATTTGGTTAACATACTTCTATAATAGTATTGCACTAGGTTCCAGATTCTACCTCCGCTAAGATGATTCATGCTGAACTAAGCTATGTTGTTAGGTGCCATTGAGTCGTTTCCAATTCATAGTGACCCTGTGTACAACAGAACGAAACACCGCCCAGTCCTGCAGCATCCTCACAATCGTTATGCTTGAGCCCATTGTTGCAGCCACTGTGTCCATCTGTCTCATTGAGGGTCTTCCTCTTTTTCACTGACCCTGTGCTTTACCAAGCATGATGTCCTTCTCCAGGGACTGATCCCTCCTGATAACATGTCCAAAGTAGGTGAGACGTAGTCTGGCCATTCTTGCTTCTAAGGAGCATTCTGGCTGTACTTCTTCCAAGACAGATTTGTTCATTCTTCTGGCAGTCCGTGGTATATTCAGTATTCTTCACCAGCAACACAATTCACAGACGCCAGTCTTCCTTATTCATTGTCCAGCTTTTGCATGCACATGACGTGATTGAAAACACCATGACTTGCGTCAGGTGCACCTTACTCTTCAAGGTGACATCTTTGCTTTTCAACACTTTAAAAAGGTCTTTTGCAGCAGATTTGCCCAATGCAGCACATCGTTTGATCTCTTAACTGCTACTTCCATGGGTGTTACTTGTGGATCCAAGTAAAATGAAATCCTTGGCAACTTCAATCTTTTCTCCGTTTATCATGATGTTGCTTATTTGTCCAATTGTGAGGATTTTTGTTTTCTTTATGTTGAGGTGTAATCCATCCTGAAGGCTGTGGTCTTTGATCTTCATCAGTAAGTGCTTCAAGTCCTCTTCATTTCCAGCAAGCAAGATTGTGTCATCTGCATAATACAGTTTGTTAATGCATCTTCCTCCAATCCTGATGCCACGTTCTTCTTCATAGAGTCCAGTTTATCGGATTATTTGCTCAGCATACAGATTGAATAGGTGTGGTGAAAGGATACAACCCTGATGCACACCTTTCCTGACTTTAAACCACGCAGTATCCCCTTGTTGTGTTCGAATGACAGGCTCTTCATCTGTGTACAGATTCCTCATGAGCACAATTAAGTGTTCTGGAATTCCCATTCTTTGCAATGTTATCCATAGTTTGTTATGATCCACATGGTTGAATGCCTTTGCATAGTCAAGAAAACACAGGTAAACATCTTTCTGGTATTCTCTGCTTTCAGCCAGGATGCATCTGACATCAGCAATGATATCGCTCATTCCACGTCCTCTTCTGAATCTGGCCTGAATTTCTGGCAGTTCCCTGTTGATATACTGCTGAAGCTACTTTTGAATGATCTTCAGCAAAATTTTACTTGGACATGATATTAATAATGTTGTTCGATAATTTCCTCATTCGGTTGAATCACCTTTCTTGGGAATAGGCATAAATATGGATCTCTTCCAGCCAGTTGGCCAGGTCGCTGTCTTCCAGATTTCTTCGCATAGATGAGTGAGCACTTCCAGAGCTGCATGTGTTTGTTGAAACATCTCAGTTGATATTCTGTCAATTCCTGGAGCCTTGCTTTATGCCAATGCCTTCAGTGCAGCTTGGACTTCTTCAGTATCATCGGTTCCTGATCATATGCTACCTCCTGAAATGGTTGAACATCAACCAATTCTTTTTGGTATAATGACTCCATGTATTACTTCCATTGTCTTTTGATGTTTCCTGCATCATTTCACATTTTCCCCATAGAGTCCTTCACTATTGCACATCATTATAATACTTTACTTTTTCTTCTCCAGCTGCCCTTTGAAATCTTCTGTTCATTTCTTTTACTTCATCATTTCTTTCTTTTGCTTTAGCTACTCGACATTTCAAGAGCAAGTTTCAGAGTCTCTTCTGCCATCCATTTTGGTCTTCTCTGTCTTTTTAATGACCTCTTGCTTTCTTCATGTATGATGTCCTTGATGTCATTCCACAACTTGTCTGGTCTTCAGTCATTAGTGTTCAGCATATCAAATCTATTCTTGAGAAGTTCTGTAAATTCAGGTGGGATATACTCAAGGTGGTACTTTGGCTTTCATGGACTTGTTCTAATTTTCTTCAGTTTTACCTTGAACTTGCATATGAGTAATTAGTGGTCTATTCTGCAGTCTGCCCCTGGCCTTGTTCTGACTGATGATATTGAGCTTTTCCATCGTTTCTCTCCACAGATGTAGTCACTTTGATTCCTGCGTGTACCATCTGGTGAGGTCCACATGTATAGTTGCTGTTTATGTTTCTGAAAAAAGGTATAGTCACCATTTATGTTGGTGGAAAAAGATATTTGCAATGAAGAAGTCGTTGGTCTTGCAGAATTCTATCATGCGATCTCTGACATTGTTTCTATCACCAAGGCCATTTTTCCAACTACCAATCCTTCTTCTTTGTTTCCAACTTCTGCATTCCAATCACCAGTAATTATCAGTGCATCCTGCTTACATGTTCAATCAATTTCAGAGTGCAGAAGTTGATAAAAATTGTATTAACTGATCTTTCTTGTAGGCATATGGATAATTGTCCTATCACTGACAGTGTTGTACTTCAGGATAGATCTTGAAATGTTCTTTCTGACGATGAATGCAACGCCTTTCCTCTTCATGTTGTCATTCCCGGCATAGTAGACCATATGATTGTCTGACTCAAAATGGCCAATACCAGTCCATTTCAGCTCCATAATGCCTACGATATTGATGTTTATGCGTTCCATTTCATTTTTGATGATTTCCAGCTTTTCTAGATTCATACTTTGTACATTCCATGTTCCAATTATTAATGGATGTTTGCAGCTGTTTCCTCTCATTTTGAGACGCACCACATCAGCCAACGAAGGTCCCAAAAGCTTGACTCCATCCACATCATTAAGGCCGACTCTACTTTGAGGAGGCAGCTCTTCCTGGCGTCTTTTGAATGCTTTCCAATCTGGGGGGCTCATCTTCTGGCACTGTTTCATACAGTGTTCCGCTGCTATTCATAAGGTTTTCACTGGCTAATTCTTTTCAGAAGTAAACCACCAGGTCCATCTTCCTAGTGTGTCTTAGTCTGGAAGCTCGCCTGAAACCTGTCCACTATGGGTGACCCTGCTAACATTTGAATACCGGTGGCATAGCTTCCAGCATCACAGCAACACGCAAGCTCCCACAGTACGACAAACTGACAGATACGTGGGGGAACTAAGCTATATGTATTTTGATTCTTTCATTCAATTAATAATGTTAAGGAAACTATGAAAATTAAGCAGGTTGTTGAATCTAGAAAGAGTTCCTTACTTTAAAAAACAATTTGCTTCTTTTTTCTCCTTCTTACACATTCCCATCGCAAGAAATAACCTCATAATGTTTATAAGATCCTTCTGGAATGTGTTTTTCCAAGTAATTAGATTGATATATTCCACAATTTACATTTACATTTTATAACTTTTATATAGTAAAAAAAAAAATCTGAATGTTTTATGTGTAGTGACTAGAAGTTATTTTTTAGGAATCAGTGATTGGTAGAAATCCTTAGGCTTTAATGAATACCAAAGTTCCTTAAGAATCAAAACGGAAAAGAAATGTTTATGTTTATTCAGTTTACAAACATGCATTGAGTGCCTCCCTAGCTATGTGCTAGGTGCTGATGATACAGAGATAAATATTTACCCAGTTAGCAACAATACCAGGAAGCTTTTCTTAAACTACATAATGAAAAACATTGCTAAATTATTGTGTTCTTTCCTTCTTCCTTTTCTGTAAAGCTTTGCTTGATATAATCGTAGGACACTGTGGAATCCTCTTTTATAACCATTTCATTTTTGCAACAAATATTTTTTGAGTTACTATTTTGGGTCAAGGAGGCTGCTATGTGCTATACAGTGCAAGCAAGATAGCTAGAATCTCTACTTTCACAGAACATAGAGTCAAGTCTGGGGCCAGTAAAGAAGATTCTATAGGAAAATTATTAAGATAAATTAATATTTAAAATGATTTCTGTTTTTTCACATTTAGGCATCCTCCTCATTACAAAGGTTTTTCTTGGTCAGAGTGTTCAGGCTCGGGAAGCAGACTCCATCAGTCGAGCCAACTATCCAATGGTTAATTCAGTGTTCATTCCTCGGAAATATTTACTAAGTATGTATACCATAAAGAGAAATATGCTTTCATCTTTCTGAATACAGAATGTTTGTATTTAATTCAGATGCTTATATTTAACCTGTGCTAACAAAGTTTTAGATGCTTCTATAAAAATTTATTCCTAGCTACTAATGAGCTTCTATTTCTCTGTTCCCTACTTTAATGACATATTTATATATATATACATATATATATGTGTACAGATGTTTTATTTTGCAAAATTTTATTTTAGTTTATATTGTATTAATTATGTATATGTATATGTGTGTGTGTATATATATATATGTATAATTATTAGTCCTCAAAGAATGGAAAAAAGCACCCAACTTTTAGCAAAAATGTTTTGACGTATTTGTCAAAAATATATGGCCACACATTGAATAGAAAAGTGAAAAAGTATGAAAAGGAAAAGAACATGAATAAAATTAAATGCTACTAATCTATGTAGTAAAGGATGACTAGTAAATATTTGCAGTTAAGAAGTATCTTGGTGGGAGAGAGAGAAAAGAAAATAGAACGTCAATAATAACGGGAGCTTAGTGAGTTTGTTGTTTATTAATCTAAGTAAAAGTAAAGAAATGTATTATGTTTCATTTTGAAGAGGTTTTTTGTGGTTAGTTTTGCTTGTTTTGTTTTTATTTGTACTCTAGATTCTGTCACGGGACAAAGAAACTGCGATTGCAGCTTTCGGCAGTGCAAGTGGTTTGTCTTTGATCATGACCTTGTTTTGCCAGAATACATCGTTGAATTTGAGTATATTACAATGGTATGAGTTGTTATGTATTTTTTAAAACTGGAATTCTTTAAATGGAAACAGAACAGCAATTTGAAGTCTAATAATGTTATGTCAAGCTTAATATATATGGATATATATATATAAAGGAGCCCTGGTGGTACAGTGGTTAAAGTGCTAGATTGCTAACCAAAAGGTCAGTGGTTCAAACCCACCGGCCGCTCTGAGGGAGAAGGCTGTGGCAATCTGCTTCCTTAAAGATTATAGCCTTGGGACAATTCTACTATGTCCTATAGGGTCACTATGAGTTGGAATCAACGGCAATTTTTTTTTTTTTAAACGAGTATACACACACACATATATATAATGATATTCTGTGAAGGACTTAAGTTTCAAACCAAGTCATTATGACACCTAAATATTTTATTACACAACTATATTGCACAAGTAGAATATGGCTATAGTCTCACAAGAAAAGATTCAAGAATCTTCAAAATTCATTGAAGACTATATAGAAGAAAACATGAAAATCTGCCTTCACTTCAGTCCTACCACCACTCTCTTTTATCCTGGCATCCACTGTTAACAGCTTTGTGGGTTTGCTTACGTTACTTTTTCTGTTTTTTGATATATACAGTGAAACTTATGAGAGCCGGAACTCGGTGGGACTGCCTTGTTTTTCCAGGTCTCGAAAGTTTTCCACTTTTGACAGGGTGCAGTCTTACCACTTTTCTATCGCTCGTTTGAGTGGAAAATATATGAGTTTTCCTTCTCTCACAGGTTTCCACCTTACACAGGTTCCAGCTTTCGCAGGTTTTACTATATAGCACGCATATTATTTTACATATTGGAATCAAGATCTGAGTATTCTGTGATGCTTTTTTGGCCTTAATAATATGTTTTGGACACATTTCCACTTTAGTACATGTAGGTGTAACTTGATTCTTTTGGTGGCTGCATACTCTTCAGTAATACTATGATTTATTTCACTGTTTCCCTGTTGATGAAACATATAGGTTGTTTCCAGGTTTTTACTGTTAAATTATTGCAGTGAATATTGTACAGATGCATCTTTATACAAATACGGAATTTTCTCTGCAGAAGAAAATTGTAGAATAATTGGCGAGTCAAAGGATATGTGCATTTTAAATTTTATTAGATTTTACCAAGTTTCCCTTCATAAATGCTTGAGCATTTTACAAATTTCCTACAGTGTATGGCAGTACTTGTTTCTTTGCATCTTGCCAACGCTAGATATTATCAATCTTTTTTGTTTTCTTTTTGCTACTCTGATGGGCAAAAAAAGGATGATGTTTTCTTTAATATGCTTGTGTATTATTTATAGTTCTCTGAATCATCTATGATTTATGGTGATTCTGTGAATCATATCCTTTGATCATTTTTCCATGGACTCTGTATTTTTCATATTGATTGGGAAAACCCTGACATACATTCTGGATATTAATCCTTTATCTGGTAGATATATTGCAAGTATTTTCTGCTACTTGTCTTTTAATTTTATTATTTATAACAAAAAAATTGTCATTTTAATTTGTAATTTACAGGCTAATTTTTAAGAGGTCAAGCCTCTCAATCTTTTCCTGCATGGATTCCTAATTTTATGTTTTGTTTCCAAAGGCTTATATAAATATTCTCCTTCATTTTTTTCAATACTTATATAGCTTGTTTTAAAACCTATAACTTGAAAAACGATTACGTAGTAAACTATATATAACAAAAAGTTTACTGTTTTAATAATTTTTAAGTATGCAATTCAGTGATATTAATTACATTCATCATGTTATGCTACCATCACGATTATCCATTTCCAAAAACTTTTCATTACTCCAAACATAAACTCTGTATCCACTAAGCAATAACTCCCCATCCATCTCTACCCCCAGCCCCCAGAAACCATCAGTATACTTTCTGTCTCTATACATTTGCCTATTCTAGATACTTCGTATAAGTGGGATCATACACTTTTATGTCTGCTTTATTTCACTCAGCATAATGTTTTCAAGGGTCATCCACATCATAGCATGAATCAGTACTTCATTCCTTTTTATGGCTGAATTATATTCCACTGTGTGTATGTACCACATTTTGCTTATCCATTCATCTGTTGATGGATACTCGGGTTATTTCCACCTTTTGGATGTTGTGAATGAACATTGAACATTGGTGTACACAAATCTGAGTCCCTACTTTCAAGTCTCATGACCTTGGAGTGGAATTGCTGGGTCATATGGTAATTCTGTGTTTAGCTTTTTGAGGAACTACCAAACTGTTTTCCATAGTGGTTGCGCTATTTTTACATTCCCACCAGCAATGCATGAAGATTCCAATTTCTCCACATCCTCACCAACACTTGTTATTTTCCATTGTTTTGATAATAGTCATCCTAATAGAGATAAAATAGTATCTTATTGTGGTTTTGATTTGCAACCTAATGGCATTGCACTATCTTTTCATGTGCTTATAGGCCATTTGTATATCTTCTTAGGAGAAATGTCTATTCAATTCCTTTGCCCATTTGTAAATTGGATTGTTGGTCTTTTGTTGTTGAGTTGTATTATTTCTGTATATATTCTAGGTATTAAACCCTTATCAGATGTATGGTTCCCAAATATTTTCTCCCATTCTGTAGGTTATCTCTTCACTTCGCTGATAAGGTCCTTTTGATGCACAAAAGTTTTTAATTTTAATGAAATCCATTTTATCTATTTTACCTTTTGTTGCTTGTGCTTTTAGTATCATATCTAAGAACCCATTGTTGCACAAAGCATTACTGCTATGTTTTTTTAAAGACTTTTATGGTTTTATTTCTTCCATTTAGGTCTTTGATTCATTTTGAGTTAATTTTTATATATGGTGTGAGGTATGGGTCCAACTTAATTCCTTCACATGTGGAGATCCAATTGCACCAGCACCATTTATTGAAGAGACTATCCTTTCCCCATTGATGGAAGATCAAACAATTTTTTTTTTTCTTAAAAATGGATAGCTAGTTATCTAAGCATCACCTTTTTGCTCTATTGTGAAATACTATCTTTATCATTAAAATTATTTTCATATATAATGGGTCTGTTTTTAGATCTTTCTGTTCTATTCCATTGATCTCCTTGTCTAATCTTGGGCCTATACCACATTGTTTTGGTTATTATAACCTTTTTGGTGTGTTTTGAAATGTAATAAGACAAATTCTCTTCCTCTGCCCCCATTCATCTTTTTCAAAACTATCTTGGCTATTCTGGTATATATTTTTGCAAATAAATTTTAGAATCAGCTTATCAAGTTCTATTTTTAGAAATACTATTAGGATTTGACTGAGATTGTATTGAATTTAAAACTTAATTTGGAGGGAACTGACATATTTGCAGTAGTGGGTCTTTCATCCAAACATGATAAGTTAACTCCATTTACTTGGATCCTCTCTTAGACTTTTCTTTATGTAGGTCTTAAATATTTAAGTGTGTTCTGAGCATTTATATTTTATATTGCTATCATGAACGGTATTATATTAGTTTAGTATGCTTTCCATAAAAGACACAGAAACCCTGACAAACAGTAAACAGAGGTTCATTTTAATCACATAACAAGAAGGATAGAGGGGCAATCCCTGGCTTTCGTGACTGTTTAATGTCATCAAAGAGCTTAGCTCCATCATCTTTCTGCTTGCTGTGTCATTCAGTTCTTTTCATTTTTAGAAGTTTTCTTCTCTTAGCTTCTTGATTATTTCTTCTCTTCCATTCTCTGTTAAGCCCTCTGGTACCATTATTAATTAAATGTTGGACATTCTGAATTGATCCTCCACCTCTTTTAAGTTTTTCTTTCATATTTTACATCTCCATTTTTTAATTCTGTGTTCCAGGGGATTTCCTCATATGCTAATTTCAGAATGCTAATTTGATCTGCTGCCATATCCATTAATTTCTCAGATCATTGATTGAATATTTTTACTTCTATAAGTGTTTTTATTTTAACTTTGAACTGTTTACCCTGTTCTTTTCCATAGCAGCCTATTCTTTTATTGTAGGTATTTTATTCTCCCAGATTTTTTAAAATTCTCTTGTGAACCGTTTTGATTTCTTCTAGAACCAGTTATTCTATTTGTTCATATAGTTCTTGCTCATTCATTCATGATTCTTACTGTAATTATTTAACTGCCTCATAATTTCCTAGAGCATCATTCTACTCTTTTACATGTTCACACTGGAATGTTGAGTTTCTATGCATCTGTGCCTCAAAGTAGTTATCTTCTGCGTGTGTTTTGACCAGAGGTTACATTTCTGCACATAGTTCTTCATCAATTTAGTCACTTCTACTTTATGTCTCACAATTTCTAGTCCTTTGTTGATACCCCTCTACTGTTACATGACGTATTTTAAAAAATATATTTTTCAAGGAATTTTCAGTGGGAGGTAATGAACACACCCATGCTTAGTCTACAGTCTGAAGATATTCTAATAGATTTTCCAATATGATTCTGATCATCATAGATATTACCATGTACCTGAAAGAAGATAATTCGTCTTATCTGCATAGCCTGTTTCTTTTTCAAAATGATAAACACAGCAACTGAATTTTCAACATTTTTCATAAATTTTTTAGGTCAAGGCTCACTCTTTATTTTCCTCATTCAACGATATTATTCTAGAAGAAAGGAAAAAAAATTCTGAAGGATCAGTATTATCACATGATTTGAAACTTGATGACGAAGTTATGAAAATGGAGCCCAGGATCAAGCCTAGACCAAAACTTATTAGTTTGGATGATAAAACAATACTTTCCATTGCTAGAACTAGCGTTTACAGTCATATTGTGGTGAGTATTATGAAGAATAAAATTTTAGGACTGGGGCTTTGAGCATGGAATCAGAATCTATCGTGTGAAGTCTAAAGATACTAAACCACCTATGTGATGACTCCAGGTATCATACTATCAAAACTAAAAGTGCCCAGCCCTGTCCTTCCATGAGACTAGAGCAGTGCTGTCCAGTAGTAATATAATGGGAACTACATATGTAGTTTTAAATTTGATAGTGGCTATATTAAAAAAGAAATAGGTGAAATTAATTTTAATAATATATTTTATTTAACCCAATATATCCAAAATATTAAACATGCAATCAATGTGAAGATTCATTAATGAGATGCAGGTAGTCCCTGACTTACAATGGGGTTCTGTTCCAATGACTGTGTTGTAAGTTGGTTCTGACATAAGTCGAATACCTCATTTTTTTTTAGTTTTCATTATTATTGCCTTTTCTTATTTGTATCTTTATAAATCTGATCTTTATTTGTCTTTGGAGATAGGAAACATTACATGTAAACTTACAGATATTTGCTGCAACATTGTAGGTAGTATATATTACTAATGATAAGATGTCCAAAAAAATGGACAGTCGTAAATGTGGTTCGCCCTAACTCGAATACATCGTAAATTGGGGATTACCTGTATTTTCACACTGAATCTTTGAAATCTGGAGTGTATTTTACACTTACAGCACATCTCCATTCAGGCTAGCCACATTTCACCTGCTCCATAACCACATGTGGCTATTGGCTGCTATGCAAGACAGTGCAGGGCTAGAGGGAGCCTTCTAGCTTACAAGGGATTTTATTCCTTAATAACAAATGAGCTGTCTTTAAATGATTAAGATGAAGAGAGACAAGTTTCAAATCAGTTTCTAGGATTAATTGACATAGAATATGAGAGCATTATCTTTACAAAATTAACTGACAGAATTTGAGTTACTTATTAAAGCTACTTACTTTATGCTGAAGTGATTCTATTGAGATATTAAACTTTTCTCCTTATCTAACTCTCAGATGTGTCCATTTCAGATCTGCTGCTATTATTGTATATAGACTACCATCATCCCTGACCTAGACCACTGCCATCATAGCCTTGTAACTGGGCTCCCTGCACTTTACCATCATAACTGCACAACTCCAGGAGGCACCATTTACTTTATTTTCTGTTAATGTACCATTAGGATGTTATTCATTATATAACTGAATACAAGTGGGGGTACCTTCTAGAATTATAAATAGAGGCCCTGTCCTACTTCCAATTTACGCTCCAAATTGAAGCTAATCTTTTCAAATGCAAATCTGATCACGTTACCTCTGTCACCCCTTACAACTCCTACCTAAAATCCTCAAATGATTTTCCATTGCTTTTAAAGTAAAACCAAAGTCTTTAATATATCCTACAATGTTTTGCATGGCCTCATCCCTAGCCTACCTGGCCTACCTTTCCAGCCTTTTTTCATATTACTCTGCCTCTAGCTCTCTGGATTTAGCCTCCTTTCTGTTTCTTAAATGCACTGTGCTTTCTGCTGCCAACACAGGGCCTCTGCACTTGCTTGTCCTTCTGCATGGAATTTTCTCCCCTGACTCTCTTCTCCTAGTTAACTCCTACACATCTTTTAGGTCTATATGTAAGCATTAAAGCCTTCCCTGACCTCTGAGTTTAGGCCAGATTTCTTTGTCATATGTGTTTTGCTATGTGTTCTTACTAGACTAAATTCCATAGGGGCAGAGGCTATGACTGTTCTTAGTCATGCCTGTCACTAGCACCAAGGCAATTACATAATGTTGTGCCTTGCACAAGAGGGCCACAATTAAGGAGCACCTTTCACATCATAGAGTAGTATGTTTGCTGCAAAGTCTTCTGACAGCTATTGATAAAATTTCTTGTTCTAACAAAGTCAGCATTGTGTGACAGTTTTCTAAAAGCTGGAAGGAAAGTGTCTTGAGGAAAGGTTAACTTTTTCTACTTTACTCGTAAGCACCCCATGGACTAGCATCACCTGTACCAGTACCCTAACACATTACCTGGCACACATTGACACTCATTAGAAATTTGTTGAAAAGAAATGAATGTGTTTTTTGCAAACAGCCAGTGGTTCTTGCAGAGAAAGTGAGTTTGCTTGAAACTGCAGAAGTAAACAAATTGATACGCCTTGAGAAGACAAGTTATCCTTACATGACACCTGTCGAATAGATACTACCCTCCTTCTAAGTGTGTGCTGAAAGCTGAGATCCAGATAAAAATTCAGATTTTTGTTATCTTGAAAGTCAGTTACCTAGTTCCATTGTTGCATTTCTAGATCTAGATTATTTAAAATGACAAATTTTTTCAAGTGATTATGTGAAACAAAGGGAATGTAAAAATATTTTTAAAAATACAGAGGTCAATAGTTTTAAGTCTGCTTCTGAAAATATTCAGAAAGCTTCATCTTTAAGAAGTTATTGGATTGCTTTGGTGAAACTACATCATCACAGTCCACCAAATCTTCAAGTACAGGAGATAAACAGGAGATTAAGTCTTTATCTTAGCCAGTTATTAGAGAGGAAGGAAAACTTCTTAACATGGTAACAATAACCCCATCTTTGTCATGAATGTGCAGTGTAGTGATTGCAGGAGCTGAGAAATTTTTTTTCTGCACTATAATGTCAAGATTTAATATTTGAGTAATAGATTTTAATAACAAAATTTCAGTAATGAGAAGTTTAAAAAGATGAATGTTCTGATTAAATTAAGCTTTCTCACAATGTATTCCTGTAGGGTTAAAAGTATTGAGTAAAAGTAAAAAGCTAGCACCTAAAGGTAGGTCCCTTGATCATCCATCTTTAGTTTGTAAGGTATAAAACACAAACACTGCTTATGACCCCTAGGTGACTTCTCATTAATATCATCAACACCTATAACATATGAATGGAGTTCGTTTTTTTTAATTTGCCTATGTTGTTTAAAAGCTGGCAAATTTTGTAGGGCTTCTAGTAAGATGACCAGATATTACAAGAATGTTTAGAGATCACAGCCTTTGCACTCCCTCCTTTGTGTTATTACTATCAGAGAAATTCAGCGTACATACCTCTTATACTGTTATCAGTTTTCCTCAGTAAATTGAGTTTTATGAGGACATTATATAGAAATAAAAATCCCAGAGTATATAGCATATAATTTTATATTCTCTTATAGCACAGTTAAATACTTAAAATTTGAGTTCTCAGTTATAAACCTGGATTTGCATTGATTTATTCACTTAGCATTTACTGAGAATTTAGTATGTTTCAGACAATGAGGTAAGCATTGAGGGTTTAAAATGAGTGAATTATTTTCCCTGCCTCAGGGACATCAGTTTAGTGGAGGAGACAGATAAGTAAACACATGTAGGAAGCTTGGAGTTGCTGGGAGAGCTTCAAAGAAAAAAGGTGAGTTTTGAGCTGAGTTTTAAAAGATATGAGGAAGTTTACTTCTTCCAGGTAGAGGAAATACTCTATGTATAGGCACAAGGTTTTGAAGGATCCTGGTGTCCTGGGAATACTGAGAGATTCAGTGACTAGAACAGGGTGCATGATGTTGAAAGGTAGAGGTGTAGGTTGGAATACAAGGAAGATAGATGAAGCTGAAGCTGGAAGAGTAGGAGGTTGTAGCCACATTAGGACAGATTTTGGAAGCCAGTCAAAAGCTTGGATTCTTTTCCTTAAGGCACAGCCTCCTTTTTTAAAGACCCTACCTTTGGTGGCTTGTGGATGGATTTAACTAAAGTCAGACTGGATGGTAGGGAGATCCAGTTTAAAAAAAAAGAAAGAAAGATTATAGTGGTCCAGAGGAGAAGTAAAATTCTGAACTAAGGCACTGATAGTGGTGATGAAACAGATTGGCTGGTTTGAGAAACATCTCTAGAATAAAATGTATATTAAAATGAGGGAATGGAGGTGATCAACAATAACTGTTAAATAGATGGTGAAGCTCTCAATCAAGATTGAAAATCCAGGCTGCCAAGCAGATAAATAAATAGGAAAGATGATGAATTCAGTTTTGGACATATTAAGTATAAGGTATCTGTAGAATCTATCATGGATGGTACTCATATATGACCTGTAGAATAAACTAGTCTGCATAAATGTGGCCATTCTTAACAATTTTATCTACGTTTTATGATTATTAGGAATTTAGTTGTTTCTCCTTGCCAGAAATGGCTATGTCCACAGGATAGGGTATAAAATGATGGTGGTGAATAAAGATGGTTGGGAGGTAGACACCTTATTTTACCATAATAATCCCACGTGTTGTGAAGGCTGTGGTCAATTGTATTAATAAATTTTCTGATGTCTTTGTTTTTTTGTAGGTTATACATAAATAGAGTCTTCACTTGATATCATTCAGAATGCTGTAGTTTAAAAGCAGAAAAAATGTGCATATCAGGGTCTCAAATATAAAAATTTAATAACATTCATTTTTTATATAGCCTAGGATACAATCTGGACCAAATTTTGGTATAGAAGTTGTCTTAGGCACTCTCCCACTTCCTTCTTTGGCATTCTGTCCTCCTCTTTCAGTACCCACCATAATATCATATGACTTTCAGTCTTTCTTCCGTGGTCCAGTGCCCTCCTATGGTTTCCTACAATCAGGGTGTATCTTTGCCACCGTCTCTCCTGTGAATGCCTAGCCCATACTCTAACTCTTTGTGGCATACATTGTTCACTGGTTAGCCTGAGAAATAGATCTGCCCTAAAAAATATTTTGAAAAGAATTTCATGCCAGTTGTTCATAAACTTAGGCCAAGTGGAAAGTCAAATTAACCAAGAATACAATCCAATGATACTGTTATAACTGTTTACACATTTTAACATCATGCATTAGCTTTTTTTTTTTCTTATTGGCTCTCTCAGTACTCTAAAATATTTAAAATACTTCCTTATTTTTTATTATATTGGCTCAAGTAATTGTTCCAAACATGTTAGATATCCACACTTAAGTATAGTAGAATGTATTCACTCTTATTTTTTTTGTTTGTTTTCATTATATTTTACTTCAGAGTTTGAATCTACATGGAAACAGCTTGAGTAAATTGAGAGACCTCTCCAAGTTAACAGGACTTCGGAAACTTAATATCAGCTTTAATGAATTTACTTGTTTAGATGATGTACACCACTTGGTAAGAAGTATCCTTTTACAATTACTTATTTAAGTAAAATAAAAGTATTAGTTTAATGTACAAATTTATTTGTATAATTATAACCTTATATATACTGTATTCAAGCCCAAATCAGGAACAAAGCAAACATCCACTTTATTATGTTACTTTCTTTAAAATAGATTTAGATTCCGTTTGCACACCAAATATATAGCTGTGGTCATATCTTATTTCTAGCTACTTTAAAATAAATATACTAAAATTACTAAATAAGTATACTAAAATTAACTGCAGTATGTTTTTAAAATGTCCTTTTAAAAGTGTCTTTTCCATTTTCTTCTTCTGCCCTTGTTTTCCCACTCTTCTTTTTCTCCATCTTATGAGTCCTTATTTCTTCTTATTCATTTCCTAGTGTACCATTTCATGTCTAATGTTGTCAGTTCTTCCCATCTGTTCATTAACCAGATTGTTATTTCTCTTTCTCCCTCCCTTATCCTTTCTACCTGAACGTGACACACGTACATCTTGTTTGACTTGTATTTGCCTCCTCGTACATCATAGGAAAAATAAAGTAATGCACATGTACACATAGGCATCAATCTTTTCTGACTCTTGTTTTCCTTGTTATGCATCATATAACAAAATAATTACATATGTGGTTCCAGAACACCAACCTAGCATCCCCTGTTTCCATGAGTCCCAGGTCATTCACATTCCTTTTCAGAATATATCATCATTCTCAGCTCTTGTTAATTCTCTGCTCTACCTCCTTGCAGCCATACCAAAGCCCTTGCATTTGCTTCCTCTACCATTGTGGAGGGAGCTGTTACTTTGCTTACTAACCATAGATTATTGGATTAAACCTTCTCTGTTTATTTTGGCAGGCCTAAGCATTTTTTTTTTTTCATAGTTCCTTCACCCAAATTTGCATCCCTAGCACAATAGTTTGGTTTTGCATCTTAAAAACTTTACCGTATCTTTTAAGTCTCTTTTAATTTATAGATTCCCTTTCTATCCCCTTCCACTCGCCATTGTTTATCTGTAGAAACTCTTGGGCCTTCTGTCCCAAGGAGCTTCCCACAGTCCGGACCTAGTGATTTGTATGCTTATAATACAACCCTCCCTCTATCCTCCATATTTCCTGCAAATAGGCAACTAAATCCAGAGATTGGATCAGACTCAGACTTAAACCGTCTGGTAAGACTAAAATCTAAGGAAGACATCCATGTAAAGTAAATTAAAATGTATTCAGCTGCATAGCTGTGATTCACCCACCTGAACTGTCAGGAAAAGAGAATATCTGAGAGAAATGAATAGGAACAGATCTTTTCCTCTGAAAATAGTTCCACCATACTCAGAGTTGATCAGGGAAAGACAAACATGTATGGCTATTTGCAACCTTAATCTATTCTACATCCTTATTTTTTTTACTGAAGCAACACTTTTCATTGGCTTATCTTTTTGAATGCAAAAGTTGTTGTTAAAATGTGCCTGGTATATAGAGACAGCTAACCTATATTTAGAGAATGAGTCAGTATCCCAAAGGAAATTTAAAAGACGCACTGTGGGTTTTAATCTTAGTAAGTTGAACTCAGAGAAATTTGAACTTAAAGAAGAAGAAATACTAAAATAGAAAACTCTGCTGCAAAACTGAAAATAGTGTTCCATGAGTATTTTCTGAGTTCATGGAGTCTGTTTCATATCCTAGGGAATACAAAAGTGAAGATCACACCCCTGTTTTCAAAGGAACAAGGCAGTTATCTTTTTATGATACATGGTTCCCAAATGCTTATCTTCAGGCAAGTGCCAGGTTGTGAAACAAGTTTTCATCAGCCTATGAAAGAAATGGGATGTAATAAATTTTTATAAAGCTAAATTTATTTCCTTTAAAACACTGTCCTGTATAAGATTATGACCTTCAAACTTATTTACTGCCAAATATCCTTTTCTTAAAAAAATTACAATGATAGTAAATGGTAGTTTTTGTTTTGTTTTACTATGCTTATTTCTGAGAATGAAAAGTCAGTGGCCCTGTTTCGGTTTCCAGAATCTTTTTTTAAGTTTTAATAATCTGTACATCCAACTCTTGAAACCTGAATCACAATAATAAGTGCTATTCCAACAGTATAAACTATGAGTTACAAAGGAGTGACTAATTCTTTGCTAACCTTAAGAGTTGTTTGAATTAAGCCGTGAGAAACCAAATCTGTTTTTAATCTATAGTGATATTTTTATTTTTAAAAATATATTGCAAAATATCTTCTTAAAGTTCTCTTTATTTCTTCCTTGCTCTGTATCTGAGTTAGTATATACCTTAACAGCAAATTTTATTTGCAACAAATATAAGCAAAAAATTAAAGTCTCAATGACTTATTACCAACAAGTAAGTCTATGATCTCAGATAGATGACTGAAGTCAAGAAAGACAATAAACAAAAAGTGAACTTTTTAAAAATGGCTTATACAAACAAATGGAAAGATGTTCAACTTTACTGGTAATAAACAATGTAAATTAAAATAAGGCAGGTAGATGGGTGGGTGTTTGAGGAAATGGACATTCTCATATTCTACTGTTGGAAAAATAAATTGGTACAAACTTCCTTGAAGTCTATTTGGCAGTATTTATCAAAAGTCTTAACAATACAGAGAGCCTTAGACCAGTAATCCCATTTCCAAGAACCTAATCTGAAAACAGTCATCAGAGTGTGGATGTGTAGTGCAGTGTTATCAACAATTAGAAACAACGTAAAGGTCCATAGTAAAATGTTTAAAACAAATATAATAGTCCACATAATAGAATATTGTATATTATATAATACATATAATGTAATATATATATTATATATTTTGAAGAATACTTATTGATGTGTGAAAATGTTATAAGGATACAAAATTCTATACAATATAATCTGTTTTATATTAAAAATATGTGTATATAATTAAAAAAATGTTTTTAGTTCTTTCTGAGTGACAGGATTATATATGCTTTCTATTTTTTCTTTTTATTTGCTATATTTTCCAAATTTCCAACAAAGAACATGTGTTACTTTTATGAGTTAAAAAATTATTACAAATCATGCACTTTAAAAGAGAAAATTACAGAATTGGTAAGCTTACTTTCTACCTTTGAAGATGAACTTTTTTCACCAGGCTGTGGGTTTAAAGGTATAAACCTTTAAATATTCAGAAATTAAGATATTAAGAAACATATTCTTTGTTTGTTGGGGACTAATTATCTTGCTCATTTTTCTATGCCTTCTATGAAATCAAACATTGCCACTCTGTGTTACAAGGGTGAGGTGAGAATTGAGAGAAGAATGACTAAAATGGAATAGCTGTAGCTTTTTAGAAAAACATGTATGTTGATATCGTTATTGTAGTATAACTACTGTTTAGCTTTTCTGTGAGGATTGCCAAGAAGCATATAAAGCACCAAGAGAAGCTAGAGAAAAGAACTACGTAAATACCAATCACAAGTCTTTCAGCATGACTTCTATTTGTGTGTGTTGCAGTATAACCTTGAATATTTGGACGCAAGTCATAACCATGTGATAACCCTTGAGGGATTTAGAGGTCTGATGAAACTGAAGCACTTAGACTTGAGCTGGAATCAATTGAAAAAATCTGGCGATGAAATAAATATGTTATGCAAGCAAACCACAAGCCTCCTCACTCTTGATATTCACCATAATCCATGGCAAAAGGTAGGCACCAGCCAAGTTTATAAAAAAGCAAACAATCATTTTTCTTTCAAAACAATTTTCTCACTCTATTATTCAGAAAACAAACTATCTTTGTTTTCCTAGAATTCCTTTAAGTCTTTCATAAGTTGAATTCAGTGTAGTGATCAAATTAATCAAATATTACTATAATAAAAAGCTATAATTTCATTTCATGTTTTGTAAACTTTCTCTAATAGTTTGAAAACATTATGGCTTTAAGGGTGTTCGATGTTATTGCCATTTGTAAACCTGCAGAGAGTTTACATAGCTCGGTGTGCTAGAACACTGCTATAATCAGCATAAGAAACAATAATAATATAATGAGAGAAGCATACTATTAAGAGGGAAACATAATTTGATTTATAATATATTCTAATCTAGAATTGAGAAGCATGTTTCACAATTGTATTTTGCACTATTTGCTCTCCGCTTTAAGTCCAAAAGTCACCTCCCCACATAGACCTGAATTATAAAAGTCTTAGAATTCTGTTATGAAAGGAAATTTGATTGATCATTATTTTTTCTCATCACAAAATATGTAGGCTAATGTTAAGTAATTTCAGTATTCAATTAATATAATTAAGGGTATTTCCAAGTATTTAAAGTGAGCCCCAAGTTTATAGTCTCCAGAATCTTCCTTTCCCTCCTTTTAAAATATGTATATAAGACCATGTTCAACATTTTAAAAAGGGACTAAAGCATGATTGGTTCTATTAAACTGACTATACTGTATGTTTATGTTGTATTTCTTCTTTTTTTGCTCAGTAAAATTGAAGAATATTTTTTCTTTTGCCAAAGCAGATTCCCTGGATGATCACAGTGTAGCTATTTTCCTGTTGCCAAATTGGTTGTCAAGGGCTAAAGATCACCATTGAATCACACATGGAGCTTGCTAGCTTACTGCTGATCCAGATAAACAGTATAGTCACTGCAGTTATTCTTTTAACATTTTTCACCAAAGGCACACTTTTCAACAACTCGTGAGATTCCCTCCTTCATAAGAGTACAATCATCCAACTTCAATTATAACAAATTAATTCTTAAATATAATTTAATTTCAACTGTTATTTTAAATATTAAGTTAAGCCTTTATTTTTAGGTATTTATAATAAATAAGATACATAATTTTGAATTATATGCAAAAGGAATGAAGAAGTACTCCTTTTACATGCTATAACATATGTAATATTTTATAAAAATTAATTTCTTGCTGTTTTTCCCAAGCCAGCCACATTGAGGCTGAGTGTTATTGGCAGATTAAAGACTCTTACTCATTTAGATGGAATCCTCATTTCTGAAGAAGAGACAACTGCAGCTATGAAATTTATTACTGGAACAAAGATTACTCAGGTTGGATATTACTGGTGAAAATTTCTTGTGCTATTTATAGCATACAAATAATATTTTCCATACTCTTTTCTGTTATTAAGATTTTATATTATCTTAGTGTATTAATAAAAAGAATCAATTAATATATAACCATCATACCACTTGAATTTTTTTCTCTGTTCAAATGTACCCTATATAAATACCAACTGATTGTATGGATTCTCTAGATACATACCTGCACACTACTTCCAAAATACCTCTAGGGTAATGAGAGCATTATCTAGTAAAGCTGAATATATATACACCCTACAACTTAACAATTTTCTTTATGGACATATACTCTAAATTGCACATATTCCCCAGGTAACAGTGTTCATAACAGCAAAATACTGAAATCAAACTCATTGTCCATTGACAGGAGAGTTGATAATGAAAAGCTATATAGCAGTAAAATATACTCAATTTACATAAAGTTCAAACGTGTGAGACTAAATGATATATTGTCTATGGGCTCAAACATAGATATTAAAACTATAAAGAAAATGGTAGACACAAAATTTGAGATAGAGCTAGCTTCTGAGAGGAAGGAGATGAAAGGGATTAGTCTGGGGCCCATAGGGAGCTTCTAGGGGATTAGTAATATTCTAGATCAGCTTGGTTTCATGGGTATGTGGGTGTTTGTACTATGCTAGTCCTTTCACAGTTACATAAATATTTGTATGGTCCGGTATTCACTAAAACAATAAAAAGTGAAATATTAAAATAAAAAATGTATTTGGATATAATACTTTATATATGAGTGAACCTCTATATCTTGTTTCCTTTACTCATTGTATATATATACATATTTTTTTTTAGCTATCTCTTTTACGGCATTCTAGTACTAAAGAGGAAAGACCACGAGTTCTTAGTACATGGCCTTCTGCCAAAATTCTGACACAGATTGCAAAGTTGGGACCATATTCACATCTGAATGGAAACTGGCACTTGAAGGTAAAGGCTAATTCTATTAAACCTAATGTGAAAGCTTACTTTGAGTTGATTTTTAGTCAGTTTTGATCTATGTATCACAAAGAGGGCACAAATAGAGGCAGAAAAGTAGAAGAGCCAAATTAAAATAGAGAGGTCAAGTAGGGAGTAGTTATGACACAGGAACTAGGCCTGGAAGGTGGTCAGCATATAATTGGAGATTTAGGGTAAGGTACACCACAAAACTGAAGGATAGAGTCTGATAATAGGTCAGAAAAGGCAGGCAAACTTAAAGGCTCATAGCCAGAGAGTAAGCCTGGGTGTCAAGGGAAAATGGATCAGGAATCCTGGCAAGCAGATAGGGAAACTGGTCAGAAGTCAGCCAAGGATAAGGCAAAGGTTACAGAACACCAGCAGATTCTTGCCACATAAGGAGCCCTTCTACCTCTTGCCAAAGATAGAAACTGGGTTAAGAAAAGATGACCCTTGAAAATGGAAGCTATTAGTGGCATTATTTTTATTACAGAATATAGACAGAAGTTGAGCTGTGATGCAGACCTAATGATAGCTTTGGCAGACCCCCACAGGGAGTTCTAGAAGCAGAATGGCCCTTTAAATTTGTTCCAAGTAGGGCTGAGATGGCCAAGCCCTTATATCCCTCCATTATTGGATGTGGGCCACCCTGGAAAGGAGTGTGACCTTGGGTGAGGCAGCTCTTTGCAGCTGAGGCAATCCCTAAAGGGCTAACAGCTGAAGGCTGTCACTGACAGCACTCCCAGGAGCTGGGACAAGTCCTTCACTGAGGGGCATCTGACTGGCACATCACAGTGTCCATAACACCATATAAGTACCTCTTTGGAATTATAATCTTGTCAAATTTTACTTTTTTGTAAACTAAGAGCTGTACGATATCCGTAATTCCTGAAGGAATTCCTTGGATGCTTCCTTATCACATTTAAATTGTTTCATTAGCCTTTTTATCTTATGACATTGATTGTATTTACTGGTGAGATTCAGAAATAACGTATACTGCAAATTATTCTATAGATAACTGCCCTAAATTTGGATGGGCAACATCTCTTTGAAATTACAAATTTAGAGAAACTGGAAAATTTAAAATGGGCATCATTCAGCAACAACAATCTCACTAAAATAGAAGGCTTGGAATCGTGTATTAACTTGGAAGAGCTCACATTAGATGGAAACTGCATCTCAAAGATAGAAGGTAAGGGATTTAGGAACTTTGAAGTCTTAGAATATGAATGCCTAAGTAACAAGAGCAAAACAATAATAAAACTGAAGATAGAATTTCTAAAGACAAAGATCTCTAGGAAAGTTTCAAGAAGTTTGGGACAGAGTATTCTAAACACCTATTTGTGAGATCAGTGACTAATTGCTATGTATAATGAGCCCAGCTATCTGACTTTCACCCTCCTCCGCCTCCCCTCTCTCCTCTGTGCCAATGTTTACCATCTATTGCCAAACTTAGCACATGCAAACTAGGTAATCATTAATGTCTGTAAAGTTGAATAAGTGAATGAATAAAGTGTGCTTTTTAAAAAGATATAGCATCCCAGTTCACTTTTCAAAATACAGAAGCAAGGTTACATTTGAAAGTTAAAGACTAACAAAAATGAAAATTACATTCACTGAAAATTGAAAATCAAATGTACTCTACAGTATTTTCTATGGATCCACAAACAAGTATAATTAAGCAGGTTTACTTAAGTCTCAATAATAATGAGACCAGTATAATGTATTTTATTTGCCTATTTCAAGTTCAATATTAAAACATATCTTTCTGGGCTAGAGAGAGTAACAGACTTTTACTCCCTACTCCCTTTTAAGCTTCCTAGATTCTTCACTGCAGTTGGGTCTATGCTCACCTGCAGCTAAAAAAACATGAGTTTAGAGTGCATGTTCTGGAATATGCTAAGATAAATATTTTCTGACCCCCTGCCAGCTTTATTTTATTCTTACCCCTGTTTAAATCACTGAACCTGAAAAGATACTGAAAGCAACCTTCCATGGCTTACTAACAATTATGTCTTATTCTCCCTCTCCTCAAAGGGATAACTAACTTCTAGGAATTAAAAAAATAATATGCCCACAAGTATACATCACTTGATTGAAAATAGGAATATGTATATACATATTTGGGTACACATACACGAACATATATACTTATTTGGGTATAGAATATTTCTGAGTGTGCATTTTGATAACGTAATTGCCCTTGGGGAATGTCTTAGTCTTCTAGTGCTGCTATAACAGAAATACCACAAGTGCATGGTTTTAACGAAGAGAAGTTTATTTCCTCACAGTTAAAGTAGGCTAAAAGTCCAAATTCAGGGCGTCAGCTCCAGGGGAAGGCTTTTTCTCTCTGTCGGCAGCCTTGTCTTCGGTGTTCCCCCGGACTAGGCGCTTCTCTGTGCAGGGTCCCTGATCCAAAGGACGCGCTCTGCTCCCAGCACCGCTTTCTCGATGGTATGAGGTCCCCCTGTCTCACTGCTCACTTCTGTCTTTTATATCTCAAGAGATTGCCTCAGGACACAATCCAGTCTTGTAAATTGAGTCCTGCCTCACCAACACAACTGCCGCCCATCCTCCCTCATTAACATCATAGAGGCATGATTTACCACACATGGGAAAATCACACACTACCAGGAATCATGGCCCAGCCAAACTGATACACACATTTTTGGGGAGACATAATTCAATCCATGACAGGGAAGGAATGTAAGAATTGGAAATCATAGCCAGGAAAGAGATTGTTCACTTTTGAATTGTTAGATTATTTTTTATAAAATAGAAAATCTGATTTCAAAAAATTATATACACAAAAGCAAGTATTAAAAATTTTAACACATGTAGAAACTTTCAAAATGGTGTAACTTTGGCTATGTATATTTTCCCCCCAAAAAAGCTCCTCAAGGTCGAGAAGGGAGAGTGTTGACATGTCGTGGGGTTGTTAACCAACGTCATAAAACGATATGTGTACTGACTGTTTAATGAGAAACTATTTGTTCTGTAAACCTTCATCTAAAGTACGATTAAAAAAATTTAAAAAATTAAATTTTAACAACATGTATAACATTTGTTAAATTTTATTTTAATGGCTGTTGACAATATGTTTCTAAAACTTGCTTGATCATAAGAATCACTTGGAGTACTTACTGAATATACAGATTCCCAGACCTCTCTTCTGTAGGTTTCGATTGAGAAAACCTAGGCTAGCTTAGGTATCTTTGTCTAGAATCGTCCCTACCTAGTCTTTCATTCTATTCCCATGAAATAGGGTATTCTTTCGCTCGGTATTTACAGTTGAGAACCCTATTTCCTTCTCATTCCCCTCTAAAAACCTGTTGAAGGAAGCTCCAACTTTTATTTTTTTATACTGCTTTTCAGAGAGGATAGGATAGAAGCTACCTCACTGAACTTGAACAGAAATTTTTCTTATTTTTCTCCAGATGTGAATAGGTTTAATATCCGTTTAAGGATTTTCGCTTTGATGGTTTTATTCTAACTTTGCCTAGATCAATTTACTTTCAGCATTGCATAGGCTCATGGTAGGGGCTTGTGTGAAAAGGAAGTGGAATCAGATTTGTTGAGGACCAATTATTTGCCAAAACCTATAGCTAATGTTTTTCAAACTTCATTATATTTAATTCCATAACCCCTTAGAAGTATATTTTAGTATCTCCATTTTAGTGATGAGGAACTGAGGCTGGGTCTATGCTCACCTGCAGCTAAAAAAAAAAAAAAAAAAAAGTTTAGAGGCCATGTTCTGAAATATACTAAGTTAAATATACATCTTGATTTTTTCAACTGCATCATCCTACCTACAGTTATAAAATGCCTATAGTACATGCTGTACGTAAGGGGTTAGGGTGTAGTAAGAGGTGCCATTTTCTAAACTTCTGCTTTAGCATACTTCTAGGCATACAAATGTAGAAGAATCAAGTTACATCATTCTTTTTAATACATATGATGCCATACTGAGGAATATTTTCCAGAGTAGTATATTCTAGTTCCTTACTCTTAATGTTTTAAAAATGAGAGCTGTTGATTATCTTGAGCTTTGTGTAAAGCTTTGTGTAGTTGTGGTGGTGAAAATCTTAATTTATTTTATCATTTGAAGGTGAATTGAAAGCAAAATTCCATGTTTTCTTATTACCTAGGGAAGAATGAATCTACTTAGAAATCCAGATAAATGGAATTTAAGGTGTCAAATGAGACTTTATACACAAAATAATATACTTTTGAAAAAGAAGGAAAAACAACGATGGTTAATACCATACAGTCCTTAAACCCTTAAAAAAAAAAGTAACAGTAGAATGACAAGCGGGTTATTTTTTAAATTAACCTTTTAGTGCTATCTGAACCGTTTCTTGAATTTGCTTATTTTCCTAGGCATTTCAAAGCTGACTAAATTAACTCGCCTCAGCATGAATAATAATCTTCTCACTGGTTTGGAAAAGCATACTTTTGATAACATGCTTCATCTTCACTCCCTTTCTCTTGAGAACAACAGAATCACTTCATTGAGTGGTTTGCAGAAAGCTTTTACTCTGATTGAATTATACGTAAGCAATAACTATATCGCTCTCAATCAAGAGATCTACAATTTAAAGGTGACTATCTGGGGTAGTCATTTTGGGGAAGTTTTTTTTTAATATTTATTGTTTCTTTATACTATGGAAGTAATACATGTTCACTGCACATAATTTAGAAAATATAAAGAAAATAAAAATCAACAATAGCAAGGTCTATTAAAACGTATTTGCATTTAACTTACATATACATATAGACATATGTAGGTATAACCATATATTCCCTAGTTGGTAACCTTCTAGGGTAACTTTTTTTAATACTCAAATAAGATAACCCAACCTCTGTCCCTCCTAACTAGTACCTTCCTCACCATTTCTAAGGACTCCGCAGCCTGGCTGGGGAGTAGATTCTTTAACATTCCCCTGTTCTCATTGCGATTCTTGATTATCTCTTACTATTCTTAAGGGCAGCTTCAATTCCTTCTTACGGGTCAGCTTTACCCAGTTTTGCTCTCTAATTCCCCAAAGTACCTCTAATTCAAGGCTACTGTGTAACAGGTGTTACAGAAGGTTTGAACAAAATGGAGTGTTAGTACCATAGAATAGGAATTCACTTCAAATGTAATATCTGACTTCATTATTTCTAAAGTTTTAGGGCCATTTCTTACTACTGTGAGTCTCACTCTGGCTTCTTTCCTATTGCTGATACCATATTGCTAGGATATACTCTCCAACCAAAAACGTTTGTCCATTTATTGTCTTTCTTTAATTTCAGCCTCCTCTCCATCCTGTTGTTGTTTGTTGTCATGGAATCGATTTCGATGCATGGCAACCCCACATGTGCAGAATAGAACTGCTCCATAGGGTTTCAAGGCTGTAATCTTTCAGAAGCAGATTACCAGGCCTGTCTTCTGTGGCACCTCTGAGTCCTCAAAGTGTCGTCTTTGCTTTCAACACTTTAGAGAGATCTGTTGGAGCAGATTTGCTCAATGTAACCCGTCGTTTGAGTTCCTGACCCGTGAGCCCTGGTGGCACAGTGGTTAAGAGCTTGGCTGCTAATGCAAA